AGGGGGAAAACAATGGAGGGGGTAACAATGTTCAAGAGGAAGTGTACTCATTACCTTACTCATGTAACTGTAGCCCTCTGTATAGTATCTTTACAATAAAATAAAAATAAAAGAGGTGTAAATATGAGCCTATCAACAATATATACTTGGCTAGAAACACACAAATTCATATAGTCTTGTGATAGCTTCATAAGGGTCTTTTTTTTTTGGTCAGTCATGGGGCTTAAACTCCAGGCCTGAGCTTCAGCTCAAGGCTAGTGCTCTACCACTTTGAGCCACAGTACCACTTCCAGTTTTTTGGTGGTTAACTGGAGATAAGAGTCTCACAAGTTTTCTGGCTTTGAACCATGATCCTCAGATCTTAGCCCCCAGTAGCTAGGATTACAGATGTGAGCCACTGGTGCCTGGCTAAGGGTTCTATTTTGTACAACATATTAGATCATGTTTTCTTTACCATAGTGTAAATTAGAACTTTTGTCTCTGAGCAAAAGTGATTTAAATTCATTTTTGTAAAGAAATAATTATTACCATTTTTGTGTGTGTGTGTTTGTGTGTGAACTCAGGAACTCCAAATCTTGCTCAGTTTTCACACTCAAAGATGGCACTCTAACACCTGGGCCACAACTCCACTCCCAGTTTTTCTGGTAGTTAATTGGAGGTTAATCACCAAATTAATTGGAGTGACACTCCAAATGAATTGGAGTCACATACTTTTCTGCCTGGGTTAGTTTCAAACTACATCCCAAATAGCTAGGATTACAGGTGTAAGCCACCAACAAGTGCATAGATTAAAAGAAATTTGATTCAGTCATCTAAAATTCACTGTTTGGCTTTCCCTTTTGTGCAAAGTAGCATATGACAATCACAATAATGTGTCTTCTCCCACTCCCCCACTTTGTAAAACTTTAGAGTAAAATAAGTACTCACAATATGTACAAATATTGAACTGTTTCTAGTATATAACTTTTAGTCTGCCTTTATTAAGATGCACTTGCACTTTCGTTTTAGGACTGATTAGAATGTTGCTGAATTATTTGAATGGGAGCATTAATAGAGCCAAGCACTATGAACTTAATGGCTCTTTGGTTCACCAGCTTTGAGAGTTCCCTGAGAACAAGACCATACTTTGGTCATCTCTGTAAAGGCAGCCCTTAGCAATTAGTTGGTGCTCAGTAAATGTTTACTAAATGAATCATTCTTGTTGGGTTGGAGAGATGTTGTTCAGCCCAAAGGTCTAAAAAAATGCCTATGTCATTCACAACTATTCTCCTAGCTACTTTGGAGGCTTAGATCTGATGACTGAAGTTTGAAACCAGTCTTGGCAGGAAAATGCCTGAAATTCTTATCCATGATTAACCAGGAAAAAGCCAGAAGTAGAGCTGTGGCTCAAGTGCTAGAGTGCCAGCCTTGAGCTAAGGTCTGGTGCCCAGGCCCTGAGTTTAAACCCCAGTACCAACACACACACACACACACACACACACACACACACACACACACACACAACTTAGGCAGGCCCAACTTGCCCCAGTTACCATAGTTTTCCTAAGAAAAACTATGTCTGGGGTGTTTCATGCAGCACCTCTAGCATAATTTCTCTCTGTCCTCCAAACTTCCTCTTCCCATCTCTAATCACTTTTCCCATCCAAACAAGAATGTGGGGGCTAGTTCCCTTAGAGAGATGGGGGGAAGGTTCCATGATTACAATCACCTTATTACTCCCAAATCTACACTAAGGCTAAAGGCAAAGAAACCACTAAATAATAGTCTCTCGCAGAAAAGAACCAGTCCCCATGAAAAGCAGATGGATTTCAGCTGTGCTCCCCTCCCTGCCCTCACTCCTCCTCACTTGGCTCCGCTGCTTGCTTGCTTATTTCCTTCCCTGCCATTTAACTACCTGTGCTTGTGGTGGTGATGCCATCAAATGAAACACACCCACAGCCACTCTGAACACATGGGCAGACAGAAGTGTTCATACATGCCAGAGCCAACAGATCCAACTTCTATCAGAATTTTCCTTCTTTTTTTTTTTTCACTCACCTTTCAGGTATTTTTCTTGGTCTCTTTCAAACTGCCATTTCTCCTTCATTGCTTCTTCCACATCCTCCCTTGTTACAACCGGCAATCTGCCGGCCTTCTCCTCCGTCAGCTCCTTCAGGACATTCCTCAAGTGCCAGAGCTGCTCCTCCTTCAAGCGCCCGTTCTGCCACAAAAGCCCGAGGGTGAACATGGGCTAAACTCCACACGCCACTTCCACAGCTCATCACATAAATGACAGGACAATATCATATCCAAGAGCTATTGATGTGAGAACCACCCACCAGGCATGATGTTACCTATTAAAGTGGTTCTATGAACTTATCCCATTTCTAGTGACTATACAAGCGAAATGTCCAAGTCCGTTTTATCAACGCTGTTCTCTAACATGAACCAGGCTGCTGTATTCTGGGCCCTGAGATTATATCAGTCAACAAAACTGAAAAAGTGCTGCTTTTGGAGAACTTACATTTTTTTTTTTAAAAAAAACTTTTCTCACAAATTACTTTAACTGTCTTTTAAAGGTTTTTTTTTTATGGTTACTATTCAAGACTCCACATTTAAATTATAGACTCTTCCAAATTTCTAAACTACTTATTTAACCAACACGAAGTTAATTAATCCAATGTAAACCGGCCCTAAAATAAATACTAAATTGAGTTCTTCACAATGAGGTAAAGGACACCAAAGAGTAACAACATAGGCATATCTGAAAGCCAGATAATGGTTATTTATTTTTTATTTTTTCCCTATCTTATTGAAAAGACAACTGCATAGGGAAGTGATTACCAATCTATGGTTGTGGACGTGGAAGATAAAAAGTGTATTTTATATGATAACACTACAAATGAAGAAGGAAGGAGTGAGACAAAAGTTTTGTATGTTATTGAAATTAGGTTGGTACTAATGTAAACTAGACTATTGGCCAGACTATTCCTTGAAATTATCAAGGAAAAGACTAAGAAAATAACTTAAAAGGGGGCTGGGAAGGTGGCTCAGTGGTAGAGTGCTTGCCTTGCATGCTTGAGGCCCTGGGTTCGATTCTTCAGCACCACATAAGCAGAAAAAAAAAGCTGGAATTGGTACGGGTGGCTCAAGTGGTAGAGCGCTAGCCTTGAGCTGACAGCGCCCAGGCCCAGAGTTCAGGCCCCACGACCGGAGCCCCCCCCCCCAAAAAAAGAATATAACTTAAAAATACAATAAAAGAAATAACAGAGTTAAAACAGTACAAAATAATGCCAGGTACCAGAGGCCCACGCCTGTAATCCTAGCTACTCAGGAGGCTGAGATCTGAGGATTGCTGTTCCAAGTCAAACTGGGCAGTAAAGTCCATGAGATTCTAATCTTCAATTTAACCACCCAAATCCCAGAGGTGGAACTATGGCTCATGCCTTGATCACAAACGCTCAGGGAGAGTACCCAGGCCCTGGCTGGCATAAAACAACCACAACAAAACAAAAAAAACAAAAACAAAAACAAGAAAAGAAAGAAATATTCTTCCCATATGTAATTAGTTAAGATAGAGTTAGACTAGATTAGATTATGGTGGGCCCTAAAACCAATGATGGGTACCTTTTTATTAGAAACAGTATGAAAAAAAAAAGAAACAGTATGAAGAGCTGCTAGAATGCCTGCTTAGCATGCATGAGGCCTTGGTTTATTAAAAAAATATTGTAAAAATGCTGTACAGAGGGCTTACAGTTACATGAGTAAGGTAATGAATTCATTTCCTATCGAGTGTTGTTACCTCCTCCTTTGTTTCCCCTCTCCCCAACTCCTCCCCACTCCCAAGTTGTAAAGTTCATTTTCAACTCATTGTTATAGGGTCAACCTATATTCTATTTCAGCATTTTGTTACTTCCCTTCCCTTCCCCAAACCAGAAAAATGTATCTACAAGATTCAGGGCACAGGAATCAAATACAGTGACAACAGGGGTTATACCATGGGGGAAGAACATACAAAAGAAACAAAAAAAATCACATGGTACATTATAAGCACATTAAAAACAGCATCAAGAAAGATAAAATCACTTGTCTTTCTAGAGGCCTTGGTTTTGATCCCCAGTCTCTCTCTCTCTCTCTCTCTCACACACACACACACATACACACACACGTGCGCACGTGCATGCACTTGAAAAACAGATGCACAAGAAAAATGGCATTGCTTGGATTATAAACAACTCAGTAGAAGACTCAGTGTTTAGAAGCCATGTAATGCTAAGGAGTGATGAAAACACCAGAAACGAGGAGACACGATGACTTCTGTCTGAATGATTTCAAAAGGAACCAGTCTTGCCTCCAATGTGCCAACAGTTAGATTTTTGAGCTCTGGCTACCTAAACTACGAGAAAATAAATTTCTGTTATTTTAGGGCAGAGAGCTTGCCATATGCTGTTATGGCAGCCCAAGGAAGTAATCCATAACCTAACAACAGAACCCCAAAATACATCAAGCCAACCCCTCTCACCACCTAGTAGCAATTGAAGGACTTCCCACATATGCTTCAGGTGTCAATGAAGGCCAAGTAAGGAACCGAAAGCACTGTCTATCACCAGGCAGAGTAACAAGGTGACCAACTAATGTGCATAAAAACTAGGTAAAATAGAAGGTCATAAATAAGATCCAGAGGTTACAATACAATATAATATAAACATGTCCAGGTTTCAACTCATCATACCAACAGTCAAGATCTTCAGATGAATGAAAAGGGATACTCTTATGATGTCAAGGCCCAAGTCCCTGATAGGTTACAATTACTTGACAAAGTTAAAGCAGCTATGAAAAAACTACTCCATGGACAATGATCAACATGCTTGAAACAAACAAAACACAGAAAGCATCAGGTGCTGTGGCTCACCCCTATAATCCTAGCTGCTTAGGAGGCTGAGATCTAAAAATCATGCCCAGGCAGGAAAGTCCAGAAGACCCTTACCTCCAATTAACCACAAAAAGCTGGAAGTGGCACTCAAGTGGTAGAGTGCTAGCCTTGAGTAAAAAACCTCAGGGACAGTTCCTAGGCTCCCAGAGAAAGAGGTAGAGAGGAGGAAGGAGGAAAGGGGGAGTTGCTGGGGGGGGCAGGGGGGAAGAGGGGAAAAGGGAGAGAGAGGGAGTGAGAGAGGGACAGAGAATCTGCAAAAGAATAGCACATGCAAAGAAAAACACAATGAAAACTTTGTGTGTGTGTGTGTGTGTGTGTGTGTGTAGTAACTGAAAGAAATAGCTAACAATAACAAGTTGAATGGAAGGGCCAGAGGAAAGAATGAGTGACCTGGAAGATTGAACAAAGGAAGATTGAACAATAATAAGTAAAATGGAAGGGCCAGGGGAAAGAATGTGTGACATGGAAGATTGAACTAGTGAAGACTGAACAAGTGAAACTTAATGAGAGAGAGAGGAGAGAGAGAGACTTGAATAGAAGTTTTGGCTGGGAAGGTGGCTCAGTGGTCTGTCTCCTTCCTTCCTTCCTTTTTTTTTGGCCAGTTCTGGAGCTTGAACTCAGGGCCTCAAGTTCTCCCTTGGCTTCTTTGCTCAAGACTCGTGCTCTACTACTTGAACTGTCCTTTCACTTCAGGACTTTAGCTAGTTAATTGGAACTAAAAGAGTCTCTCAGATTTAGCTGCCTTGTGTTGAACTATGAACTTTAGGTCTCAGCTTCCTGAATAGCTAGGAATACAGGTGTGAGCCACCTGTGCCCAGCTACAATGTGCAGTTTTTAAAAGCATGTATCTACATGTTTAATGACTAAAAATACATTTTTTACTCACCCTTTCATGATTCTTTTGGTTCTTTTCTCTAAGCTTCTTTATTTGAAATATCAGTCGCTCTACTGTATTTTCCTTTATTTCACGTCTGAGAATAAACAAAGATGTATTACAATTATTTCGCTTAGAAAAAGTTAAGACAAAAATTAAAAATTAAACTAAATTGTTTGAATTCAATTAAACTACTAACTGTATTCCAATAGCCCTTTTTTTTGGGGGGGGAGGTCTGGTTGTGGGGCCTGGGCACTGTCCCTCAGCTCTTCAGCTCAAGGCTAGCGCTCTACCACTTGAGCCATAGCGCCACTTCTGGCTTTTTTCTTTTTGATTATGTGGTGCTGAGGAATTGAACCCAGGGCCTCAGGCATGCAAGGCAAGCGCTCTACCACTGAGCCACCTTCCCAGCCCCAACCCATTTTTTTATAAGAACCTTTTGTAAGAGAATTTGTGTCTTTGAATATATTTAATTCATTGAAAAATATGTTAGACAACTTCCAGCTTCTGGCTCTTTGCTGGTTAACTGGAAATAATAGTCTCATAGACTTTCCAGCCCTGGCTGGCTTTGAGCCAAGATCCTTACATTTCAGCCTCCTAAGTAGCTAGGATTACAGGCATGAGCCACTGACAAATTTGTATTCTTAGCAGAGAGAAAAACAAGGTTCTTTCCTTCTACATGATGAGGAATCACAAAAACAAAGCAAGCAAATCCTTTTGTACCAAAAACTGTATTTGAATAATATGAAACTTAGACGTAGTCTGTCTTTCCGCTAACTGCCTAAGGGTACTTACCCTCTTTAGATCTTGTCTTACTGCTCTAAACAAGATGAAAGGAGTTCTGTGATTTCTTTTCTGAAGTTTCAACTGACCATTGTTCCCTTCATCCAGAAGGACATGGGTTCTGAGTAATGTGTAGTATTGTGTGGGGGCATTTAGACACAGTTTAGAGTAAGACCATCACCATCCTTGCACAGCTTACAGACCATGACAAGGGAAGCACATAAACATCTGACTCACACATGGTGATTAATACTACGGGGGAAAACATCAGATCCTGAGAACAGTACATGGAAGAGGCTATGACAGCAGTGGACTCCACACAGATTTAAAAAATAAACCGATAGTAATTAAAAACCATATTTTCTTATTTAATTAAAGCTTAGGCACATAATGAGTGGGAAGGGATGCCTTCTCTTTCATTGTGTGTGTGTATGCTGCCAGGGACGCCTGGCTTCTTTGGTGAGATAAGATCCCACTAACTCCTCCTCACCCCCCTTCACCCCAGCCTTAAGCCACAATCCTCCAATCTCTCCCTTACAAGTAGCTAGGATTAAGGTGTGCACCTGGATTTAGTCCAGCCTCGTTGGGAAGAGAAAATTAAGTAATGGTAACATTTTCTGGGGAAAAAATAAAGCCTATGCAAACATGCGCAAATATAATCTCGGCAATTACACATAGCAGAGGAATCCCAGGTGTGTTGCCTGCCCTGGTTGAGACAAGACTTTGGGCAGCTTTAATAGACAGGCTCTCAGGCTGTGCCCACATGCCTTCCTTGGTGATGACTGAGAGTATGATGAGCCAGCAGGAGACCACACGTAGTCCCAACCCCAGGTACTGCATGGGATAGATTTACACTGAAAATGGTACTGGAATTAAAATTTAATTGGATATCTTGTATTTTTTGTTACCTCTGCCAACCTCATACTTAAAGCCCATCACTGCTGCACTCAGAGCATTTAGGAAAAGATGGTTCAGAGCTTTGTCTTTTGTCCATTTGGCCGTGAGCAGTTCACTATGACTGGAGTCAGCAGACGTTGGGGAATTCTGGGAGGCCCTCTTGTGGAGCTTGTGGAAATTGCACGTGTAGCTTAGAGGGGTCTGTCTCTGGAATTCACTTCCAGCTTTCTAGGAGTCATGCAGAGGTGGATTTACCAGGAAGCTTTGGAGCTTCAAAAATCTACCTCTTAGCACTATATGGAATTCCATTGTTACCATTTTTTTTTTGTTGGTCGTGGGGTTCCAACTCTGGGCCTGGGCGCTGTCCCTCAGCTCTTCAGCTCAAGGTGAGCGCTCTACCGCTTGAGCCACAGCACCACTTCTGGTTTTCTGGTGGTTTATTGGAGATAGGAGTCTCACGGACTTTCCTGCTCGGGCTGGCTTTGAACCTTGATCCTCAGATCTCAGCCTCCTGAGTAGCTAGGATTACAGGCAGGAGCCACCGGCGCCCGGCTCCATTGTTATCATTCTTTATAGCCTTTCATATCTCCCCACAGGTGCCTTAGTATCCAAGTGTGCCCATGGTATCCTGAGTGGTGAAGCAACTGGTGTGTATATACACCCATGTATTAAAATGGGTTGAAAAGGATATAGCACTATTCTAAAGCACTATGCTATTAAAATGTTGGTAATCCATTAATTGTTACTAGTGTGACACCCTCGTACCCCTTCCTTTCCTGTATGAATATTATGTTGAAATTTTGAGGAAGGAAAACAAATTTGAGAAGTGGAGGTATGGCTCAGGTAGTAGAGTACCAGCCATAAGTGAATAAATGCTAAGCAAGGGATGCCCTGAGTTTATGCCCCAGTACTAAACAAACAAAAAAAAAGAAAACAAATTTGAATTTCTAACAAAATTTATACTTTTATCTGTGTGTGTGTGTGTGTGTGTGTGTGTGTGTGTGTGTGTGTGTGTGTTGTGTGTTTATTGGTACTGAGGCTTGAACCTTAGGCCTAGGCCCTGTGGATTCCCTTAGCTTTTCCTCTCAAGGCTCTTATTCTACTCCTCGAGCTCCACTTCCACCTCTGGCTTTTTGCTGGTTAATTGGAGATAGGTGTCTAATGGATTTTTCTGCTCATGCTGGCTTTAAACTGCGATCCTCAGATTCCATTCTTCTGAGCAGCTAGAATTCAGGTGCTGTGAGCTACTAGTGCCCAGCTGCATGTGTTCTTGCTTCTTTGTTTTTCAATCTAGAACCATATCCAACCCTGTTCTGATATCTTTATTTACTTCCATTGTAGAAAGTTGAGGAGGAAACAAATAGAAATGAGAAAATTACAACTACAATTGCTTAGTGACCATCCCTTTATAGGTTTAGCATGGGCACAAAGACCAGGACATTATGTATGTGGAATTAGCAGATCAAAGGGGAGGATTTCTTTGCTATTACTATTAATGCCAATGTTTTCAGAATGTTTGAACAATTTATGTTCACCAGTGATTTTTTTTTGCCGGTCATGGGCCCTGAACTCTGGGCCTGGATGCTGTCCCTCAGCAATTTAGCTCAAGGCTAGCGCTCTACCACTTGGGCCACAGTACCACTTCCAGCGTTTTCTGCTTATGTGGTGCTGAGGAATCAAACCCAGGGCCTCATGCTTCCAAGGCAAGTACCCTACCACTGAGCCACTTTCCTAGCCCCTCACCAGTGATTTTTTTTTAAATACCTGTTTCATGGAATTTTGCACAGCGATTAGAAAGAATAATATCTCATTTGCAGGGAAATGGATAGACATAGAACCAATCATGTTAAGTGAGGTAAGCCAAGCTTAGAGAGACAAATGTCACCTGTTTCGCTCATATAGGGAAGCTAGACCTAAAATACACAGGGACATGATAAATTATACTGGTCTCTAGGCATTCATACACAGTGAGATCAAAGGAGGAAACTCTTAGGAGAGGAACATAACATCACATAGAATAATACGTATTGAATGTACCTGTTTTGAGGTAGGTATTTCACCATTGCATGTGAGTACTTAAAAATATTTCCTGTATCTATAAACAAAGCAAGATCACTTTATTTTCATGAATGTAATTTTGCTCTGGCAAGATCTAACAATATTTTCTCAAGAAAGAAATCTGAGGTCACACTATATATCAGGCTTTCTAGGTATTAGAGATATAAAAAATTGTAAATGAGAAAAATAAAAGACACAACTGTACAATTTAGTCTCCAACCTGCTTCCATTTTCTTGGCAATAGTTGGATGGACTATTTTCATTTGGTATCATAGAACTTCCAACAATGACTACAGTTACATCAGACAATTGTTAAATTTCAGAATACAAACTTACTGGTAGTCCAGAAGCGATTCAGTGGTGGACATTTTGTCACTCTTTGGTTGTGTAAGTATATCCTTTCTATTTGCTTTCCCCATACTCTCCATTCTTGTGGTTAGCTACTAATAAATATGCCTATATAAAAAAAGACATAGGAAAAGTGAATAAATTTTGTCCATCTAACGTTTGTTTACTCTAGGAACTTAAGGCTAAAAGGCAGAAGGAGACTATGTGGGAAGAGAAAAGAGACCAGTGGCAGGAATGTGGGGAGCAAGAAATGGGAGTAGATATGATTCATATACATATATAGAACACTCATGATAAAACCAATTAAAATATCAAAAAAAAAAGAGAGAAAGGAAAGAAAGTCTTTGTTACGCAGGAGTCTGAGATCTGAGGACTAAGTGGTTTAAAGATAATCTGGGCAGAAACATCCAAGACTCTTATCTCCAACTGCCCACCAAAAAGCAAGAAATGGAGGTGTAGCTAAAATGGTAGAGAGCTACCTTTGAGCAAAAAAGCTAAGCAAGAGTGTGAGGCCCTGAGTTTAACCCCAGTACTAGTGCACGCAGGTGTGCACGCACACACACACACAAACACACAGAAAAAGAAAAAAAAACTGGCTTTTCTGTGCCAACTGCTTCTTGTGGCCAGATCTAACATCAAGTGCAAGTCTGAAACATCAAGGATTATTTGGGTTCCTGAGTCCTGTGATTTCCATGTTTATTTTAGGTACAATGTCCCCTCTTCATCCCCACATCCATTCTTCCATCCAGAACTTTCTAAGACTCATTCTCTTTTGTATTTTGATACTTTATCCTTATCAAGCTCCTCTAAGAGCAAAAAAGTGACATTGATTTAAAATAAACACATTTTATTTCTCTATACTGTGTGGCAGGGTGCACAACACATGGTAACTACTCAATAAATACCAACTAATATTTTATCCTTTGTTTTTTGTTTTTGCCAGTCCTGGGGCTTGAACTCAGGGTCTGAGCACTGTCCCTGAGCTTCTTTTGGTCAAGGCTAGCACTCTACCACTTGAGCCACAGCACCACTTCCAGCTGTTTCTGTTTATGTGGTGCTGAGGAATCAACCCCAGGTCCTCATGCATATGAAGCAAGCACCCTACCACTGAGCCACCTTCCCAGCCCATTGACTAATATTTTAAAAATGAAAAATGGTATCACAAATTTTGTCTTTCTTTTGCTTTTGGTCACACAATTTTCTATAAGCATCAAGAAGCTTGGCTCTAAACAAATTGAAACTAGGCTCCAAAAGAATTAAATTTTGTCTGGGTTATTACAAAAGTAAATAAAAATACATTTTGAAAGTCTTTCACTTAGAAAGGGGTGATTCTGGGGCTTGAACAGCAGATTTGTTCTAGGCTAGTTTCGAACCCGGATCCTCAGATCTCAGCCTTCTGAGTAGCAAGGATTACAGACATGAGCCACCAGTGCCTGGCTTGAAGGAGCTTTCAAAGGTTAAGAGATTTACAAATGTGGGCTGGGAAGGTGGCTCAGTGGTAGAGCGCTTGCCTTGCATGCCTGAGGCCCTGGGTTCGATTCCTCAGCACCACATAAGCAAAAAGAAAAAAGCCG